TTACCAGTGCCTTGTCTACACCATCCAGTTTTGGGGACAAAACTTGTGTTGATACCCAAAAGTTGACAAAACAAAAATTGCAAAAGGGTGTTCACACTTGCTCCCTCTGTCAATAGATCACATCCCCATCAATGACTGTGTGAGCAATTCACTGTGGGTATGTATCCCACAGTGCAGTGTTGTGGGAAGGTGTAGCTGATTACATCTTGGGATTCCCTCAGAGTTCTCCCACAGCCAGTCCTCAGCTGCTAGGAGCAGCACCATGAGTAGCTCTGTGAGCTCTCCATGCTGAGCAAAGTTGCAACAGCAAAAAAAAAGTCTGCCTTTCGCTATGTTCTTAGTACAGGGCAGAAAAGGAGCAATTCAGTGATCTGCTCTTCGTTCTCCGTTTGTCAAAGTGCTTCATACCCATAAGTCATTTCACAGTCACCAAGCCTGAATATTGCTGAATGGTCTCATTTTCTAAATTTAACTTTGCATTACAGTCTCTACCTGTTTGGGACATAAAATAACTGTCCTGCAACACCTCTTAGCATTTAAACACTTATAATTGTATAGTTGGTGAAATAAAAATATTACTAATGTTGGGGCTAACGTAGTATTTCTTGTGATCAAAAATATTTTAATGCTACTTCAAGGACTGAAGGGTGCCAAAGGCATCTCCAAAGAACATATGGATTATGCATATTACCTGTTCTAAAATATCTACATGCTTGAAATGTATAAAGTGGGTATCTCGGAGACCTATGCTCAACCACTGCAGTTAATAGATCTAAACTCACCAGAGCAGGGAATATGACTCGTGTTTGAACAGTACCAGGTCCATGTTGTTAGACTGCAAGTTCTATGGGCATGCCTATTATGTATGTCCAGTCCTGAGTACACTTAATGCACCATACATAACCTTAACTTTCTGGGACTGCAAAGGTCTGAGATGCTTTTATTTAGAGGCAGCTTAAGTGACTTATTGTACCTACAGTGTTTCAACAGGTACATCTACACTTCATTCTTCTATGGCAAACCTAGTGATTATCTTAGAATTTATCCTAAGCATTTGCCATGAAAGAAATCTCTAGCTTGTCTTTTCTGCTATTGGTGGTGGTGATGGTAAGGAGTTGGGAGAGCAGAGAGGAGAAGGGATTGTATTAACTTTTCTAAAGAGCAGTAGTAGTTCCTCTTTACAGTATTGATGTGAAGTTTAAGGAGGCTGTGTCGTGATAAAATAACGATACTAACTATTCAGGTAAATGAACCGAATTCAAGTTTCAATTCCCACTATGTGGGTGCTCAGGGAAGTAATGTTGTGGAACTGAGATGATTTACATCCTAAAAAATGGAGGAAAGGATTTTGCTAATAACACATAAGTCCTTATGCTTGATTGAACTTTTTTCAGTGTATTTCTGTGAAGTCTATGCCAGTGGTGGGACATGGAACCCATCTATGTTCTATGTGTTGCCCATAAGACATTTTGTTTACTGTTGCCCATGCGCAGGCCTGCCAGATTCTGCTGGTTTCTGAGCAGTTTTTTTCTAATGGTAGTACTAAAGTGAGCTGCACATAAAGGGCACATGAAGTGAGGGGCATGCTGATTGTGCACAACATTGACTGAGAGAGCTGTGTGCTTCCTTTGCATCCAATCAAAGTGCTGCTCCGAGTTCAGTCGGTACACCCAGCAAATTCTAGGTATGCAAGCACAGTTAGCATAACTACCCTCCATCTTGGTTACACAGGAACATAAGAATGGCTATACTGGGTCAGACCAAAGGTCCATCTAGCCCAGTATCCTGTCTGCTGACAGTGACTAGTGCCAGATGCCCCAAAGGGGGTGGACCGAAGACAATGATCAAGCAGTTTGTCTCCTGCTATCCTTCTCCAGCCTTTGACAAACAGAGGCCGGGGCACCATTCCTTACCCCCTAGCTAATAGCCTTTTATGGACCTAACCCTCCATGAATTCATCTAGCTCTTTTTTTAAACTCTGTTATAGTCCTAACATTCACAGCCTCCTCTGGCAAGGAGTTCCACAGGTTGCCTGTATGCTTTGTGAAAAAGAACGACCGTTTTGTGGCTCACTGAGATATAGAGCCACTCACATGGCCCATTCACTAGACTAGGCTGCCCGGCACGGGTCTGTGTAGTCTATTCTAGATATTACTAACTGCTATAAACAATTGCTTGAACTCATTAGCTGGCATGGAACCGTTTAATCACTATCCTTGCCAAAAATAATTTGTTGGAAGTAAAGTTTGTTTAATTATCAGGTAATACCTTAATGTTAGGCAAACCTTTCTTCTTCTTGTCTTGTTTGGGACCTCTTTCTCCTAAAGAGGATTGATGCCTCTCTCTAGTACTATATAGTTGGTATGGTGAAAGCTGGAGTTCTGACTATAAGTGCACTTTACCTGTCCTCACAGCATCTAACTGGAGATGTCTGGTGTAAAAAGTTGAGGGCAGTTGTGCATAAATGTGTAGTGATCATGATTTAGAGCTTCAGAGTGGTAGCCGAGTGTTAGTCTGTAACTGCAAAAGTGACAAGGAGTCCTGTGGCACCTTATAGACTAACAGGTGTATTGGAGCATAAGCTTTCGTGGGCAAAGACTCACTTTGTAAGATGCATGCTGAAAGCTTATGCTCCAATACATCTGTTAGTCTATAAGGTGCCACAGGACTCCTTGTCGCTTTTGCGATCTAGACTAACATGGCTACCCCTCTGATAGTCTAAATTGGTTTTCTAAATTTTTCCAGTTATAGACTAACAAAACAAATAGATGGTACCATGAGCTTTCATGGGCATAACCCACTTCTTAAGATGACTGGAGTGTTAAAAGTCCAGATCCAAGAATAAATAAAAGAAGGGGCGAGGGAAGGAGGAAAAAAGACAGTGAATTACAAGAGGCTGATGATAACAAATAGCACCTTCATTGGTTGGTTGGTTGTCATTAGAATGTAGAAGGTAGTGTGTGAGCCAGCTGATACCTCTGTTCATACCATTCTGATAAGAATTAAACTTGTAAATGAAGTTAAGTTCCATCTCTTCCCTGTGTATTTGGCTTGTGGAATTGGCCTTAAACAACATGGTGAGTTGGAGATTGAGTGCCCGGGCACGTTAAAGTGTTCTCCAACAAGTTTCTGTGTGTTGCCTTTTTGGATATCTGACTTGTGTCCATTAGTTCTTTTCTGTAGAAACTGCCCAATTTGGCCAATATACATTGCAGTGGGGCATTGCTGGCATTTGATGGCATAGATCACATTAGTGGATATGCAGTTAAATGAGCCGCTGATGTGGTTAGGTCCAGTGATGAAATCACTTGTGTAGATGTGTGGACAGAGTTGGCACCGGGGCTGATTGCAGAGGTGGGCTCCTGGATGATTATTATGGAGGTGTGTTGCATGGTTACTGGAAAGAATTTGTTTGAGGTTAGGAGGTTGTCTGTAGGCAAGGATTGGTCTTTCCCCCAAGGCCTGTGAGAGTGAAGGGTCATTTTCCAGGATAGGTTGTAGATTGTGGATAATGCATTGGAGGGGTTTAAGTTGTGGGCTGTAGGTAATGACAGGTAGAATTCTGTTTTCTCTTTTTGGCCTGTCTTGAAGTAGTTCATATGTGGGTACTCTTTTGGCTCTGTCGATCTGTTTTTTCGCTTCTCCGGGTGGGTATTCAGTTTTAAGAATGCTCTGTATAGATCCTGTAGGTGTTTGTGTCTGTGGGATTAAAGCAAATCCGGTTGTATGTTAGGGCGTGGGCTGTATACAATAAAGTGAGAAATGTGTCTGGGATGGAAGCTAGAGTCTACTCTAGAGTGTTCTACTCTGGGACAGATTCTTGTTAAGGCTGGATGAAACTCTCAAATCTTCACGGAAAATTGAATGGAGTTTGCCCCTTCTGAAGCTTGAAAAGTTGAGCTAATTGTAGACTTTTTTTCACTCAGCTTTCTTCTTCCATCTTTGGTCTAGGATTATAAGAAGAATAACAAATGCCACTGTAGAGGGTATTTTTCTTTTCCAAATCTGCTGACATGCTAGAAAGCTCACAAGGCCTATTTTTGATAGATTTCCAGAGGTTTTGGTTATAAAGCAGAACATTTGGGTATTTTGATCTAAGCTGGAGTGGATTTTCTTAGGTTCACCAATGCCCTTCAATAATTTTAGTCTCCCTTGATTGTGCTTAATTAATAGCTGTACTCATATTGCATGTGCAATATCAAGATTAGGAGAAAGCAGATGTATGATTCTTTTTGACAATGACCATGTTATCTAATTATTTGGATAAACATAAGTATAACCTGCATTTAAAGAGTGAGTATATGTTATTATGCTCCTCTTCCTTCAGATCCTCTTTTTTACTGAAGTATTTAAAAATAAATGTACACGTTTTGATAGAACACAGTTGCCACCTTTGGTTAATATAAATGTTTCCTCTCTATATATCCATACAAATATGATAGTCTTTTCTTAAAATGACAGCACAGAAAAACTTTGAAATGTAAGTGATAATTGCATGGTAGATGCCTGCATGAAGATGATATCTACTTATGAAGCATAGCAAGTTGTTATGGAAAATAGGGCCATTACATATATCTGTAAGAAATCACTTGCTACTACATGTAAAGTCTTACTGAGTCTAGTCTCCTTGATTTCATATGCTAATTAACAAAGGTGCTTCAAGTTAATTTGTCCAGCATCTATTACATTGTGATTCTTCTCTTTTCAGGCTGAAGCAAGGCTTGCAGCGAAGCGAGCAGCACGAGCGGAGGCGCGGGAGATCCGAATGAAAGAACTTGAGAGGCAGCAGAAGGAGGTATGTTTAAAGTTTTCAATGGGTATTTGATCTTCTCTGCCTACCTCAGACTAGGCTCCAGGGTCCTGGAATTACTAGTTACTCTTCTGTTATGCTGAAATACTAATAGCCCTAATTGGGCCTCTGATGAACAAATGGTACTGGTACTAAGATTGTGAATAAAAATGGTCTGAAAATACAGGGACTCTGCAGCAGCAATGTATCGAGCCAGTGTCATTCTAACCCGAGTGCACATGATTGATTTGTAGCTAGCCTTGGATATTTTTGTTGATAATAATTAACTCTGTTGCTTTCTCTAGCGATTGTTTAGGAAAACAATCTTGTAAGTATAAAGGAGACTCCTTTCTCTGGCATTTAGCTTTTGTGTAATTAGTATTCAGGGGCATTTGTTAATCATCCTTTTAATGAAGTAAACCAAGCTGTATGACTCTGGCATTGACCTTGTGTGGATTACACCTGTCTTTTTAAGAATGACTGTAATCTCAGAAGGTCACCATTGGCACAACTACTCACTGGAAAACTGAGCTCCTGAAAGTGTCCCTCACCTCCCATGATAAATTGTACCTCTTAACTACCAGCCAAGTCTTGCTAACACCTTAAAAGGGTTTTTCTCTGCTGCCAACCAAATAAAATTGTGCTTTAAGGATACGTTTAAAATAAGATCTGTAGTCTCAAATATGTTAACAGGTTTGCAGCACTACAGAGGCTTGTTCTATTCCTTTTGAATTTAATGAGCCAAGAGTTGTACTAAATATCAGCCTCCTCCCTCCCCCACTGAGTAACTGAGATCAATATGTGCATCTAGGGGGAATAAAAGATAGAGGACTGACATTAGGCCACTAATTCTAGAACAAACATCTGGATCAGTCATTAGAATTGGCAAGATAGTGCTGTCCAGAAAAGCATATGCACCTGGCATTTGCAGTAGATATACATGTCTAATGAAGCAGGCAAATGGTACTGTTGTAAGAATTGACTCATCTATCAAATACAAGAAGATGGGGGATGTTAGAGGTAAAACAAAGGAAGAATGGGAGACAGCTGCTAGAGAGAGGTTATTAGCTGGTCGGTTGTTGCTTTTACTATTAGGCTGTGTCTACACTGGGCCACTTATTCCGGAAAATCAGCCGCTTTTCCGGAATAAGCTGCGAGCTGTCTACACTGGCCCTTGAATTTCCGGAAAAGCAACGACGCTGTACTGTACAAAATCAGCTGCTATTCCGGAAAAACTATTCTGCTCCCGCTCGGGCATAAGTCCTTATTCCGGAACACTGTTCCAGAAAAGGGCCAGTGTAGACAGCCCAGTAGTCTTTTCCGGAAAAAGCCCTGATCGCGAAAATGGCGATCGAGCTCTTTTCCAGAAAAGTGCGTCTACATTGGCCACAGACGCTTTTCTGGAAAAAGGGCTTTTCCGGAAAAGCAGCCTGCCAATGTAAACGCTCCTTTTCCGGAAAAACTGAAAACGGAATAGTATTCCGTTTTAAGCAGTTCCGGAGATTCATGCCAGTGTAGACACAGCCATCCAGTTGCTTCTTATGATTGAATGGAACTTGATTTTGCAGCGTCAACCAAAGCCAAAAGGTTTGTGTGGCTGGCAGCGTATTTATATTGTCGAGCCCCCTGCAGTGCCTAAGTCATAAGTAATAGGATTTCCTAAAGAGCATTAAAGGATCCATGGTAAACACATATTTGCTATCTGACCAGAGAGTGTCATGCACATAGACTTTAAAGCAGCTGTTAATTATATTACTTTCTAATTTCATGGTAATTACAAGGCAGTTGATTACCTCTTCTCTGAGGGACTGAAAACTGATACTATCAAGTGCAAACTGGTTAACTGCAACTTAGACTTCAAATAGCTAAAAAAATACAGGTTCAAACATCTATCAGTCAAAAGCCATTTCCTTGTAGCTAATACAATTAAACGCAAACCTACTGAAATGAAACTTTTTGGAAAACTTTGTATTGCATATGAAGCCTCTAAAAGTCTTAAATCAAAATTTCTACAAGCTTAACTAAGCATCCACCTATGAGACACTTCGGAATTCTCAGTGGAATATAATGCATAACGCAGTGTGTATGTTTTATATATGTGTATTAAATTTTATTTCCCCAGTATTCAGCAAAACCTTTCAGCTATCGAATTCCCAGCCTCCATGAAGGAGCAGAACTGCACAGAGTTGCTACAGATGCAATTTTTCATTAACAAGCGTGTCTTACAGACATTAGAAGGTCATAAGGCATTGATATAGCATATATTAAGAAACCACCAGCCAGGTGATTTCTTGGCATTTAAACCTACTTTGGATAAGAACGATTAAGGGAAAGAAAAAAAAATTGATCTGTTTTCTGAGCTACGTGCCATAAAGAAAACAGTACAATTCGCACCAACTAAGAGTCAAAGCACTCATTTACATTAAAAGGTTTTGATGGAAGCATGTATAACATTTAAGAAGCAATAAGTGATTGTCTGTCCATTTTCTCGTGTTTAAAGTAGTGCGTCTGCTTCGAGAGATCTGCTTATGTAGCATAAATCAGCTGCAAAAGTATGTACAGTTTGAACCTCTGGTTCAGGACTCTGTAGTAGGCTGTTGCTGTACTAGAGCCCCATTGGCGGAGGTTGCCAGCAGCTTGGAGCTGGCTGGCGGGTCCAGTGGAGCAGGAGGGCCGCTGAAGCTCACTGAGCTAAAAGGATTGTGAGGGCCACTAGAGCTCATGGGGTGGCCCTGGAAGCTCTGGCATGGCTGGCGCAGCTGGTGGCACCCGGAGCTTGGGCAGGGCTGGGAGAGGAGCCTAGGTGTTTGGGAAGTAGGAATTTTGCATGTACAGTAAATGACTAACAGTTTAACTGATAAGCTAAGCTTTATACTGCAGAGCCTGCAATGTAATCGCTGAGATCTTTTAAGCTAGCTCCCAGGGAGCTGCCTCTGCCCCTTCACCCTCTTACTGCTGCCTCTGATATGGACTTGTGGGTGGGGGTGGGAGCCAGTACGTGTGGGGAGCCAGCTCCCAGGAAACTGCCTCCCCTCTCCTCTATGTAAACGTGTAACTGCTGAAATGCTTAATGATTATATGTTTTCCTAAATAATGTATTTTAACATGCTTAGTGTAGACCCAGTCTCAGACTTTTCTTGCACTGTGTTGGCATCATTCATACAAACTCTGCCCCTGGTTCTAGCATTACTGTCAGTCTACCTTCAGAGCATTGTACGCTTATGTTCCTTACTGGGAGAAATGGCTGAATCAATTCAGGCTCCTGTTTTTAATGAGTACAACAAAAATTTCTGTAACACACAAGGAATTCCTGAATTGCCTAAATTCCTAATGGGCCAGGCAAAATACCACTGCATGCTGCTCTGAAAACCAGCTGTAGCGCCCTGTCTGTCTGAACAGCTGTGAACTGGAGGTTAGCGGGGAAAGGCTTTGCATGCCACCTCCACCCCTAGCACAATCCTGCAGTTCCCATTGGCTGATTTTTGGCTAATGGGAGCTGCCTGTTTGAAGAACAGAGAGCAGGCTAAATGCCCCTCTTCCCTCGGGCTCACAGTTGTTCAGATAAACATGGCCCTGCAGCTGACTGCTTTGGGAAGGCAGACAACCTACTGGGCTGCTAGCCAGGAGTCACCTCAGGTAAGCGTTTTCCAGCTAGAGCCTACCTTTGGCACCACAGCCCTTTCCCCTCTCCCCTACCCCACGTAAGCCAAACCCTTTGCTCCCCCTTCTGCACCCCTGACTCCTCCCAGACCTTGCACCTCAATATCCTGGCCAAGGTCACAACCCAAACTCCTGCACCCAGACCCTTGCCCCAGGTTCCAACCCCCTTGCCCCAGGTTCCAACCCCCTCCTTCACCCAAACTCCCTCCTAGATCTCTCTCACTCCTGCACCCCAAACCCTTCCCCTAAGCTCTCTTTTGCACCAAAACTCCATGCCTAAACCCACTCTTCCTTTGTTAATATGGAAGAGTTTGGCCCTTGACCATTTACCAAATTCTTGGAGAGGCTCCCCATAAAAAATATTGCCTACCCCAGCCTTTAATCATAAAGATTATCAGGATGTATTTGAGAGAATATTTTTCTAAAGGTTTTTAATTAAGTTCTTATCTCTTATTTAAGAAATACAGTATTCTTCAGCAGTGATGTAAGATGTTACATTATTTCAAACAGCAATTTTGTGAATAATTGCTGCAGAATGATCAGATACGTTTTATGTAGTGGCACATTCTGGTTTCTCTGCTGACAAGACTTTAAATATGTTAAATACGTTTTGCTTTTTTCCAAAGTATACAATTAGATACTTCTGCTTAATTTGATTATACCGTCTGAAGTGAAAAGAAAATAGTAATCTAATCCCCCCACCCTCTCATATAAAATCTCTACATGTTGTGGGACACAGCGGACAGCTTTACATTTCAATAATTCACTTGCTTTTGACTCTCTATTGCCATTACGGTTAGAATGTAGTGTAACAGAAAATACCTTCATTGCTATTATTCTGTGGCTACAGGGCTGACTTTTCTCACTTTCACATACAAAGCCAAAGGAGGAGGAAAATGCATTTACAGGCTTTGGGGAAATATCGATATCAACTCTTTTTATAGTGTCTTTTCCTAGCTGTTCCTTCAAGATTTATTTTTGTAAATAAACTAAGCTAAGGAAGGTGACAGACTTGTGATTGTGATTAATTTCCTTTAATCTCCTGTTGAGTAAGAATTAGGACACTTTCTTCCCTTGCTTGGATTTAATGTCTGCAGGCCATGTGACCTGCTGACCCACATCTGACACTGGGGAACTAGGTTTCCGCGTGATAGCCATCTAAGGCTGGGAAGGTGATAAGCAGTGAGAGACCTACAAGGAAATGAACTCTTCTCTGCTTGGACTGGAGGGCAGGGAATTTTTAGCTGGAATTTGTTTTCCACTTATCTGTGGAAGAGAAACTGCTGTTCCTGTATGAATAGTGGCCTGTATCCAGTTTTGAGACTGCACAGCAGCTAAAAAGAGGT